ATCAACCAGTATATCATATCGACTCCAAGCATACCACTTTGCGTATATCCCAAAATATATCAGATACATATAAGGGTATACATACTACCAAACTTGTTATACCATTTAAGTAAAACCATAAATATATACCGGTATCAGATATATAAGGTGGGGAATATATCATTATATCAACCTACCGATATATTATGTATGGGGATATATCTTATAGTATTGGCAAAATATAAGGTACCTAAATATACCATTCCTGAAGGTATATCTTTTGGGCTAAAGTAAAAAAAAAATATGGCAGTATACTTAAAAAACAATGCTACCCAACATCCAGTTTTCTATGAGGGTATACCTTGTAATATAACTGAATATAATATAAAAATCACACATATAAGGAAGACAGTTCTACAGTCATATATATATCATCCTGGAGCATATATACAGTATATATGTAGATATATATAGGCCCCTATACTTCTTTTTTCAGGTATAACCAAATATATCACAAATATAACCAAGATCGCTAAGTATGATCACCATATATCATCATTTCGCACAAGATGACGCACTGTACTTTCGACTAAACACATTTCGCACAATTATATCTAATCGGGGAGCGGAACCGCACGTGTTCTCCCCACGACGTCGAAGGTGCAACTGACCCAGCCAGGCAACCTCCGCCAGGTCTCCCCCCACCTCTAAGCTCTGCGCATGCCCACACAGACGTAAACACAAGAGGAAGAGAATCTGCAGAGAAATCGAAAAGGTGATGAAAGAAAGGAGTGGGAGAGAGAGAGATAGAAAGAGGGATAAGGGAGAGATAGAGATAGAGAAAAATGGATATGGGAGATAGGAAGAGGTAAACAGATAAGAGATTGGAAAAGACTAGATAGAGATAAAGAGATAAAGGAGTAAAAGAGATTGGAGAAAATAAACAGGAAAATAGGAGAAACAAGAAGGAAGAAAAGAAGATAAGGATTGGGAAGATAAAGACGAGAAAAAATAAGGAGAGGTAAAGGAAGAGGCTGGGAAAAACAGATGAAGGAGTGGAGAAAGGAGATGGAAGTAGGAGAGAGAGAGGTTGGAGATAAAGAGGTAAGCCGAGGAGGACGGTGAGAGGTAAAATGAGAGGCGGGGAGAGGTAGAGAGAGAGAGGAGAGAAAAGACGAATAGGAGAGATGTAAATAAAGGACACAGAAAAATACATTTGATAAGAGGAAATAGAAGGAAAATTAAACATAAAATACAGTAAAAGATGGTTTACAAGACACACCCCAATCACCTTTCACCTCCCCCCATCATCCCCCACCCCCACCTCCATCACCCTCACCATCCCCAACATCCCCACCTCACCCTCCATCACCCCTCCCCAGGGACGATTGGAGAAGTGGATCCTCTTTCATACTCCTCGATGCCTGTCTCTGGGACGACAAATGGCAAGGAAAAAAGTAATAATAATAATTGATATTGATGATGATGATGATGATGACGATGACGATGATATATGATGATGATGGTGATGACGATGACGATGACGATGATGATGATGATGATTGATGATGATGATGGTGATGACGATGACGATGATGATGATGATGATGATGATATGACGCTGACGATGATGATAATGATGATGATGATGATGATGATGATGATGATGATGGTGATGACGATGACGATGACAGTGATGATGATATGATAGTATTGATGATGATGATGATGATGATTGATGATGATGATGATGATGATGATGATGATGATGATGATGATGATGATGATGATTGATGATGATGATGATGATGATGATAATAATAGTAATGATGATATATATATATTAATAATAATAATAATAATAATGATGATAATATTAAAATAACAGACAACGAAAACGGAATGAAAGATAATGAAAATGGAATAAGGGACGTCGAAAACGGAATGAAAGATGACGAAATGAATAAGGAAGGACGAAGAGAACAAAGAAAACGAGAAGAAAAACAAGTAGAGGAATCACAGGTAATTACGCCTTTAAGAAAATGTCGGGTCTATCAGACAAGAAGTGGTTAATGGAGGGACAGGGAGGAGGAAGAGTAAAGAGGAGGGAGGAAGAGGAGAAGGAGAGAAGTAGGAAGGGGAAGGAGGATAAGATGAGGAAAAGGAGGAGTAGAGTGGGAAGTGGAAGAGAAGGAAGGAGTTGAGAGCAGGAGAGAGGTGAGAGGAAAAAGAAGGAAGGAAGAGGAAGATGAAAGGAAGGGAAAAGAAGGGATAGAGTAGGAAGGGGAAGAGAAGAAAGGGGGTGTAGAGAAGGGGAGAAGGAGGAAGAATAGGGGGTATGGAAGAGGAGGAGGAAAAGAAGGCGAATAGGGAAGGAGGAGAGGGGAGAGGATAGGGGAAGGGAAGATGAGAAAGGAGGGGAAGAAAATGAAGAGAATTGAAAGAGAGAAGAGGAGAGAGGGAAGGGTGATGGAGAGCACGAGAGGAGAGGAAAGACAAGTAGAGTAAGAAGGGAGAAGAGGAGGAGGAGAATTTGAGGGTGAAAAAGGAGAGCAGGAAGGAGGAAGAGATGGAGGAGGTAAAGCGAAGGAAATAAGAGAATGTAGGAAGGAGGAGAATAGAGGAGGAAGGAGGAGGGAGAAAAGAAGGGGAAAAGGGACGAGAAGAGAGTTAGGTGGAGGAGAAAGAGGAGGGAAAGAAAGAGGAAGGAAGGAAGGAAGGAAGGAAGGAAGGAAGGAAGGAAGGAAGGAAGGAAGGAACGGCTGTAACTGTAATACTAAAATACAATGCCTTAGGTCGTTATATATCCAACTATAATAACTATCATGTTGACCCCAGCCAGCACTTAACCCTACACTAATGTAATTCTTTCACCGTGTCAACTAAAGGGTAATGACCTGACCTCTGTAGTGAACCACCCTTTGATAATTAACAAAAAAACATTTAAAAACAATGTCCCTCACTAATGATCGCTGTTTACCTGGAGTTTAATTTGAGTTCCCTTTTGTGTTAATTGCTAGATGGTTGTAGAGATAAGAGGTACAGAGTCAATTACAGGTAACTACAGGTTTAACTACATAAACGTGTGTGGTACAGATACAGTTACAGATACAGAGATAGTATATGTGGAGATAAAAATACATAAAATTAAATGTACACGTATTAATTACAGGGACAAATACAGGTATCATTCTACCCATAATCCCTTGAGTAAGAGGACTTAACCCCTTGAGTACAATTTTGTTCAGTTCCATGAGTACCATTGTCCTTATAGGTGGAGTACGATGACTTAACCTCCTGATTACGTATTCTTACTCACGGGAACGGTACTCAAGAAATTTAATCCACGTACTCAAGGAATCAAATCATCGTACTCGTGTCATTAAGCCATTGTACTCAAACGATTAAGACAGTATAATCAACAGGCTAATAAAATTACTGTAATCACCTGTATTAATACACTGTAATTAAGACCCGATTACAGGTATTCTTCCCACCTGCTCTCACCTGCAAGCGACCAAGTAATTAGACACACTTTCTTCTCATTAAGGAGATTATGTCGCTCTCACCTGAACGAGGTCACTGTGACGTCATTAAAGCCGCGTTCAGGTGCCGGGGGTCATTAAGGGAGGTGAATTCCTTTCTTAACAAGGCTGTTATCGACAACCTTAACTCGGGGTGTCGTTAATAGTGGAATTACCCGGTATTAAGGTGTTAAGTGAGAGGGAACGATATTAAAAATGTGAAAGAGAAAATGATGATGATGATGATGATGATGATGATGATGATGATGATGATGATTATATGAAAATTATTATATTAATATCGGCAAAAATCAAGTCACTAAGAATAATAATGAAAATAAATAAATAAATACACATAAAAAAGCTGTGATAAAGAGACTTGAGGACCATAATACATTTTAAGGATTGCGTTGTCTGTTATTTTTTAATGTCATCATTGTTATTATTTATTATTATTGTTAAAAGAATCTGGTGAGAATGAGGAGAAAGGAGGAAGGAAAAGGAAGAAAGGATGGAGAGGAGAAGAAGAAAGGGGAGGAGAGGAAGAATGGGGAAGGAGGGAGAAAGACCAGGGAGATGGGGGGAAGGAGGGGGAGGAGAGGATCAGGAAGAGGAAGATGAAAGGAGAAGAAAATGAAGAGAATTGAAAGAAGAGAGGAGAATGAAGCTGAAGGGAGAAGAATGAAACAGAAGGAGGAAAGGAAGGAGCCCCAGTGAGAGGGAGAAGAGATGAGATGAAAGGGAGGAGAATGAGGGAAGGAGGAGGAAGGACAGGAGAAAGGAGAAGGAGGAGAAAAGGAAGGAAGGAAGGAAGGAAGGAAGGAAGGAAGGAAGGAAGGAACTGGAGTCGTGACAGGACAGGAACGCTTG